TGGGTTTCTTAAGTTGAATCTGTATGTAAGTCAGAACTGGCGGTCAGTTTCAGCAGCGGCTGAATCTGGACGCCAGTTCCGACTTACATACTGTAACAGGGCAGCTGCCCTGTACTGGCCCTTTAAGAGCCAAACCCTGGCCTGGAGCAGGCCCGGGGAGTTCAGCCCAGCTGGGCGGCATTGACCAATTAAGGCCCAGCTGGGAGCTATAAAGGGGAAGGGCCGCTTCAGCACAGGCAGTGTGAGCCTGGCTGCTGAGGGAGCAGGATGCTCTCTGAAGCTAGGGCAGGGTTAGAGGGCCAGGCTGGGCCAGGGCGCTCGGGCAGACAAGACAGCCGGCCAGCCTGCTAGGCCTGCGGCAAGGCCTAGCTGGAGAGACACCAGACCCCCGGAAGGGGGGCTCAGAGCGAGTGACTTGGGCACTGCCGGAGGGCAGTGTGGCGAAGAGACGTACGTGACCGGAAGGGGTCCAGAGGGGAAACGCCCGTGAGCGGAGGCCTGGCCAGATGGAATGGACTGATTCCGGGGACAGACGACGGACCCCCGCTATGGTGGTGAGTGACCCCCTCGCGCCCCCTCACACATACAGATTCAACTTAAGAACAAACCTACAGTCCCTATCTTGTACATAACCCGGGGACTGCCTATAGTATCATTAGAACATTTAATTGCAATGTACAATATTGCTCTGGTACTTCACAATTCTTACAGATTGTCCAAGGTTCCTCCTACATCACATAGTATGTCAGAAAAATATAAAAGGAAATACATTACTCTGTTGTTATTGGTATCAGCTGTTGGCAGTTTGAAACCCTCAAGAGATGATGTATCCTCAAGCTCTCATTCTGTATTATTACACATAACATACAGGTACGTTAGTTACGCTGCCTCTCCTCAACACATGCTATGTGCTATTAAAGTACTAATTAGCATTCTTCATTAAGTGGAGAGCGTCCTGGGGCTGCCTGTATTTAATTATTTTAATCTGCCATTCCATCTGATTATATATTTAGCAAGCCATTTTACCTTGTGACATTCACTGTTATGAAATTGGTCGTGAAGAAGATCCACAAATGAAATATCATCTCTGTGGCTTGCACTAATTTAATGTAAATGACAGAGACAGATATTATAGCCTCCCACATGGCTCTAGTAGCAGACATACTCATGGTTACTCTTTGTTTTGCTTTAGCAGTGACTTCCCCCATCTCCCTCTTTATTCTTTAGTCTCTTTCCAGGCCCTTTCTTCATTTTTAATTTTCTCCTTTTTTCTTCCTAGGAAAATCGTAAGTAGTAAAAATGATTTGCAATTATGTATCTACCTCACTATTTGTCTCAGGATAAACACATTATTCCCAGTTCAATTCCCATGAAAGCCTTGGCTCTATCTAGCTTCAGAATTAGTAAGATCAGGCTCATTATTGGTTCCTCAGAGATATTATAGTATCTTTCCCATTGCATTTTAGTTTTGCATCTGTGCTTGAGGTGGAACACCTGTGGCATACTGTAGTAGCTGGAGAGCTATTTCTGCAGGTGAGCATCTGTATTTAAAACACAAATGAGGTTAATTATCAAGGGAGTATGGAATGACACAACAAAGGGGGATGAACTGTGTTTCTCTTGAGGAAAAGTAATAAATAGTATATTTTAAATTGTGGTGATCCTCATATTAATATAATAAATTGCCCTCCAGGAAGTTTTACATGTAGTTTGGAAAAATCATTGACAGCTGGCACTCTCATTTTTGAAGATATCCTGGTTTGTTCAACAC